ATCGATGTTATATGTAAGAAAGGCCGGTATATTTATTGAATATTTTTTCGAGACGAGACTTTTAATTTACTTTCGAATTATATTTTCTTGCAAGTATTTTTAGTGAAATTCAAGCTGTTTACACAATTCTTTAATCGATAAATTGCTTGATACAAATAAAGGCAGTAGAAATATTTCTAGAATGTTATTTATCGATAATATCGATATGTCCTGATGCATTTAAGGATTTGTTACTTTTATGTAAGATTCGTACGTCTTATATTTTCTGATGTACTTTTTTGTCTAATTGCGATCGCGCTTTTGTTGCAGGCCTGGCCCGTGTGAATTGCAAGACCCGTTGTGGGTCAAAATGAGTGCGATTACCAGCGGCATTACCAAGAAAAGAAAGAAATCAGATGCAAAGCCTCAGTCGCAGCTGTGAGTATCAATCTCCTGTTTTTTTCTTTTTTTTCTTGCGGTACAAGCTCGGATCTGCAATCTGGACGGTACAATGAATGAAAACCCGCGTTTCACATCGCATATTTGGTACCAAATGCGGCTATCAGTGAATAAAAATAATTATACTATTATTACAAAGCATCATCGTTTGATACAATTCTACAAAAATATTATTACAGACAAAAACAAATGATTATATTAAACGTATGAAAGAAATATGCAAAATCAAGTTCGTTTCCTTATTGTATTTTTCCATTAATCGATGATTCCTTCTTTTATTATTACGTAATGATTTTGTTGCGTAATTAATAATTTTAATATTATAATAATTTCGATGCAATTGTTGTGTTATAATGAAATAACAAAAGCAACGAAACAATCAAAATTTGTACTTTATAATCGGTTATTTTAATTAATTTAAAAATAAATTTAATTTTTCGATTAATGGAAAAAAGGATTGAAAGATGAATATCAGCGTCCCATTTTGTTTTCTTTTACGCGTAATGCGGTTTGTATACGAAAAATTAATAAATATCGTCAAAAGTTTTTATCGTTAAAAAAATTACGGGAATCCAGTTTAATTTAATTTCAATAAAATATTATTTAACAAAATATTTTTTATTACATTGCCAATAATTTAGGTAGCAATATTACAAAATAATATAAAAGTGGAGTGGAAGGATGAGGGAAATAAGAAAAGTAAGAGAAAACTGCTTTGAAAGGTTCAAAATTGAATTTTTTTGAAGCGCAAGTAAAACGTGACAATTCTGGATTCAAATTAATTAATGTTTGGTTAGTTTTTTAATGAATTTTTAAGGATTAGATATCCAGAATAGAATGTATGAGTTTTTAAAGTTTGGAAACTAATAATTTATTTTCAACGATTTTTAAAGGCTTGGCGATGTGTACACGCCGTAATCCGTTGCCATCCATTTTGCTAAAGAGCTTATCGAATTATTAATAACAAACACAAACACGCAAGTTTTTGAGCATTCGCTGATTGAACAGACTTTAATGTTAAAGTAATGTTTGGTTAATGTCGCGCATGAATAAAATTTTATTAAATTGTTGTATAAATTTCATCTGTGTGTTTACATATAATATGGAAAATGTAGTCATTGTTTCGATAACAATTGTGTAATATATTAGTAATTATTAATGGGCTATTGTTTAATTTCATTAGCACCAATAACCAAACATTGATGATTATTTGCATCTTTTTGCATTCATAAAATTTCATAAAAAATTAATTAACCGATAGAAAAAGAATGAAATTTACATAAAATAGTATATTTAAATCTAAAATTCTGATTTTTTTTAATTTTATCATCTATAAAAATGTCAGAAAGGTTACTAAATTTGATATATATTTAAATCTCGTTTCACTATAGAAATTGATATTCGATGTTAGAATTCGAAATAAGAATAACAATGTTGGGAAAAATTGTTTTTTTAAATTACTAGAAACAATCGAAAGAAAGTAATAGTAAATCATCTGTGTAAAATTAATACTTTATTCTTAGAATTTCATTATTGATGAAATTCTGAGTCTTTCTCAAAGAGGTTTAAAGTTTCTTAAAAAATATTTTTTTTATATTATAGAATATCCATAACATTAATACAATAAATTTTTTGTATTTGTAACGTGGGAAGGAAAGTAAACGCTAAAGTTATATCGCTTTTACTTTTGATTTTAATCCTATGATTTTGCCGCGCGAGTACGTGGCTGGATAGCAACTGGCAAGACAGTATTAAAATTGCAGAGTGGCATTATAGTAAAGCGAGAGTCTGCTGGACCGATGTGACGTCACGCAAGGTCAATCAAACAATTTCCGTTTCAATGGGACAAAAAGAATTGGTTCAGCATTTAAAAAAGAAGAGAAAAATTTTCTTTTTTTATAAAGTTTCGAAATCCCTTCGTAAGATTTTTATTAATGCTTCGTGATGTTTTGTTACACGTCCAGCATGTACAGAAATTTTAGGTCTGTAATTTTAATAATAGATTTTTTGACTAATTTGGGGTTAATGCCTTCTCGAGTCACAAACGTGAGTTGCAGTTAATTAAATTTTTTTAGAGTGATTTAAATTTGAATATTTACCGAATTTTAATTTGATGTTTAAATATTAGGACATGAATTTAAAAAAATACAACAATCACAATCGAAATTTTTTGGGACGAGCGACTTAAAATTCGGAATCTGTTATTAATTGCAAAAGTGTAAAATGCGAGTATGACAGACAAACTGTGTCAGAACAAATTTATGAATCGATTATATAGAAAAACTTTATACTTTTCTTATCATAAGACGAACGAGAATGTTCTTTGACGCAATAAAATCGGGGAAAACTTTAGTCATAGAAATAATAGCGATTTATTCTGGGGTTTACAATTTACTATAATTAATAAATCTAATGACTTCTACTTAAAAAGGTATTAACAGAAAGATATACCTTGGAGAAATCACGTTTAAAAATAATAACAAAGAGATAATCTGTCAATGGCACTTTTATTCTTTATCTAGTTTTTGAAAACGAATATTTAGACAATTTCTTAACACTTATATTTATGCATAAATATTAAAAATAAAACTATTGTCGTCTTGAACTTTGAATATTTTCTTATATTGATTACATATCTTAGAAAATAAATGTTTTAACATTTTTAAGCATAAATTCGTTAAGTACACAATGAAATGCTGCAATTTTTCAAACAATATTTAAATAACTAATTAGTATTTAATGAAGTGTAATATATATTTAAC